CAAACCCGTTTAATTCGTGTCAGTTAATCGTGTTATGTCGAATTTTGACAGTCCTAGGAGTACTTAAGAAGAAACTACTTATTTTGACCACAAAATGGATGATCTAGTTGGTATGTTATTGAACAAGACTCTCTTACAACATTTCATTAGTACCAAATTTAATATTTGAGTTATATATTAGATGTTTAAGATGAATTGTCTATTGCAATACCTGAATGATGAAGTTGATATTATTTATTTTCAACTATATATGTAGAAATCATCATTATTAAAGTTTTTTGGATACATTTAATATCAAATTTTATCATATATTACAATATATTCAAACTTGCCTACATATTTGTTGAAATATCTTCACATATATGGATCCTATTTTTTTTTAGATTTTGCCGTACCACCGTAACCGTATGGCTTTGAACCAATATTATGTCTTTATATCCAAGCTTCCTGGCCTAGAAAAATCATCACTTAAATCCTTTAAGGACCTTGGGGGGTTTTAGCTCTGTCCAAGTATAAAGATTTAGTTAGAATCTTGTCACCTTTTGTGTATAACTATAAACTAAAATTGAGTCATGTCAAATGAATGGAGGATACAACATTTACTTGGAGTGGAAATTATAAACTAAATTGCATTTTCACTGTCAATTTGATTCCAGATGGTTGGTTACCTCTATCATCCACATTAATCTTTTCCTATCTCCTCCCCCTCCTGTCATGTCCAAAAATTACTAAATTTTGTCATCGCCTTCTTTGTCATTCAACAAAACTTACACCCTTCATTTATCATACTTCATTCTTCAATAAAACCTCAAAATCCAAACTTTCTCTTCTTGAAGCCTGTCTCCTAATTTAATGAACCAACAATAACTAATATCAAATTTAAAATTAACCACATATCATTGCTATTGTTGGGGCAAGGTTAACTTCCTGGACCCTACAACACCACATCAGTCCAGACATGTCCAATGGCTCCAAGGCGTTATCCTTTCTTATGATTGAATAACTTTTCTAAGTGTTTGCTTTATTTCTTCGGAGTAATATGAGTTATTCATTTCACATAGTTGATGTTTTCAACATAATTGGAGGTGTTCACTTTCAAGCACCTCTCGAATCCGAAAATTTATGTTTTAATGCTAATATGCCTAGTCATTTAATCTAGCAGGCATCTTCCTGAAACCAGACACCTTTACTTTATTTCTCTTCTATCTCTTCTTGTTTTATAGAGGTCCTCCTGGTTTACACGTACATGTATAATTAGGACATCTCCAACCCTTACTCAAATTTAGACTCAAATTTAAATTTGAGTAAAAAAGTTTAAAAAATTTGCTCCAACCCTCGACTCAAACTTATACCAAATTAAGAAAAACTTATTTTTTTACTCAAATCAAGAAATACTCAAATCTTTAGTCAAATCTTTAATGGTGAGATTTCATCATCTTTTAAAGATTCAATGGTCATCCTTACTCCCTTTTAAATTTGGATTTGCCCTTATTTAAATTTGAATCTCTCCTTTAAATTTGAGTTTGTCCATTAGAATCTTTTATATCAAATCAAGATTTTTACTCAAATATTAATTTAAATTTAAGTAAAAATTTGAGTCATGGTTGGAGATGCTCTTATTTATACTATAATGTCTCATTATATTTATCCTTGGGTAAATTATTATTACATTCCCTGATATACGGACTTATTATTAGGTCATCCCACGACATTTCAATATTATCACAACGACCCCTTTTGAAATAGCTACAAGACTCCCTACGGAACAGGTAAAACCGACATCAATACAAATCTATATTATTAATAAAGTAAGAGAAGGGGGTTAGTATCCTCTCCCTTTATTGGTAGTTAACTAGTTCTCTATCACTATTAACGCTAATATGCCTACTCATTTAATCTAGCTGGCATCTTCCTGAAACCAGACACCTTTACTTTACTTCTCTTCTATCTCTTCTTGTTTTATAGAGGTCCTCCTGGTTTACACGTACATGTATAGATAAGACATCTCCAACCTTTACTCAAATTTAGACTCAAATTATAATTTGAGTAAAAAAGTTTAAAAAACTTGCTTCAACCCTTGACTCAAACTTATACCAAATTAAGAAAAACTTATTTTTTTACTCAAATCAAGGAATACTCAAATCTTTAATGGTGAAATTTCACCATCTTTTAAAGATTCAATGGTCATCCTTACTCCCTTTTAAATTTGGATTTGCCCTTATTTAAATTTGAATCTCTTCTTCTTTAAATTTGAGTTTGTCCATTAGAATCTTTTATATCAGATCAAGATTTTTACTCAAATATTAATTTAAATTTGAGTAAAACTTTGAGTCATGGTTGAAGATGCTCTTATTTATACTATAATGTCTCATTATATTTATCCTTGGGTAAATTACTATTACATTCCCTGATATATGGACTTATTATTGGACCACCCCACGACATTTCAATATTATCGCGACGACCCCTTTTGAAATAGCTGCAAGACTCCCTACGGAACTGGTAAAACCGACATCAATACAAATCTATATTATTAATAAAGAAAGAGAAGGGGGTTGGTATCCTCTCCCTTTATTGGTAGTTAACTAGTTCTCTATCACTATTAATAATCAGTTTACAGTTAAATTTTAAAGCTTCCAACTCACCCCCTCTCTCACGACTCCATGTCTCTCTTCCTTAACTGGCTCTCTCTCTTTTCCCTCTCTTTCACGACACTCTATCTCTTTCTCATAACATCTCCATTTCCTAACCGGCTCCCTCCTTGACCACATTTTTTTTATTAAACAGAAACTAGTAATGATTAAAGTCCAACATCACCCACTTATTTCTTGTTGAATTATTAATCGTGTTTCCAAACTTAACATTCATTGTAAAAAAATTGACTCTTTAGCTAAACAGCGTATCCTCTTTTTCTTAGACCCCTCACCCTCTCCAACAAACACCAACCCTTGTTCCACACACCCACCGAACCACAACAAAACAGCCACGACAGCCACAACCACCCACAATCATGGTTTTAGTATTTTTTTTTTTAGCTAAATAAAAATTGAGATTAAGGAAAAAAAGAATACGAGAGATATAATCAGACACCAAGGTGGCTTAATACATGCCCAAAGGCCTTACAGAGTACCTCCACACCTAATCTATATCTTACGATCCACAGTATGACACATTTTGATATAGGAGTAAAATGTTATTGTATAATACACGATACATTGCAATATGCCCCATGTAGGTTGAAAAAGGAGATTTTAACAAAAAGAGGAAGCTACTTACCAATAAAAATAAAAAGAAAGAAAGAAAGATAAATGTCCTATATAGTTTGTCTATATATTTTTTAATTTGTTAACTCATTCAATCATCACAGTATCTAAAATTTATATTGTTTCTATGTGGAGCCTAGAAATATTGTCAAATAAGAAAACTAAAGAAAAGCAAGTAGTTGGAAAAAATGATGACGAAGATGAAGACATACAAAAGGTTGAAAAGAATATATGAGGTAAAGATTTCTTGGCATCTGATGATAAAGATATTGATGCTGTTGAAATTGAAGATCAACATAAAAATGTGATTTATAATGGATTGTTATGAATTTTGCTATTTTGATATTGATGAATTTTGCTATAAACTTGCATTGTTAATTTTTTTTTTGAAACTTGGAGTACTTTATATATACATATAAGTGTGTGTGTATGCGTATTTTACGACATTCGATACATTACGATACACAATACATTATGCTAAGAACACGATACACACTAGGATACACGTTTTGAAACCTTGCGCAATGGTTTCTCCCTTAGCCTCCTATGTTATTCTTACTCAACACCTTAAGCAACTATCTCCCTTGTAGACTGTTAAGTTGAAAGAATTAACATATATTATAGAGAAATAGAGAGAGGCCAAAAATTTAACCTACCTCTTACACACCACTTGTATTTATAGTTAACTTACAATAATAAGAAAGACAAATACACCCTTTTATATTTACACATAATACCCTTCTACTATTAACACTCTCCCTCAAACTGGACTATATATATATCATATAATCCAAGGATTGTCACTATAAACCACTACCCACTACACATTTGGCCCAAATTAATAAGGAAAATTCCCTAACTATTCTACATAGTTCCCTAAACAGAAAATTCCAATATCCAATGGGAGTGCTTTACCCTAGTGATGACAATCGTGTCATGTCTGATATGTTTGTGACGTGTTATTTACGGGTTTATGTCGACCACTAGTCAATCCTAAACCAACTCATTTGACTAACCATGTCATGTCAACTTGACCTATTTTATTTTTGTGTCATATTCGTGTTGACCCATGTAACACACAAATCAAAAAATTAACACTAAGATTTAAATCTAAGATTTCATTATCACTCAGTCGAACGTACACTCATACTTTTTTTATAAACTAAAAATTAATTTAATAATTGCAATAACAAAAATGAGTAAAAACATCTATTTTGTATAATAATTATACCAATACTAGATAAAAAAAAATAACAAAAATTCAACATTATATTCCAATAATAATAGTTAAACGGGTTATTCCTGTCAATTTCGTGTTATTCGTGATTGACACTAACCTGACCCATTTATTATTCATGTTTACAGTTCGTGTCATTTATAGATTTGTGTCAAGAAATGGTCAATCCTAATCCACTAATTTCGTGTCGATTTCGAGTCTTATTTTCGTGTCGTGTTAGAAATTGTCACCCCAAGTTTACCTTAATTCTACAAAGATACACCAACAATCGTCCATAATGTTCAAGGCAATTCATCAAACTCTTTTCTCTTTGAGTCCTTAAGTGATACTTAAAGAACATGATCCATAAAACTTCCTAGAAGTACAATTCTCCTTGTAATTACTATTGTTATAAATTACAAGGCACTAAATGCGGGGTTTGCCATCATTTCAATATTTCCACCTTTGTGTTATATTCTCCTCATCCATATACAACATATAGTTTACAAGGGACAAGGAACTTACGGAATCCTGGAGATGACACCATGAGCTACAACCCCCTCAATTTGATCTAGACTATCAGCTACTTCAGCTGCAAGGTAGTCAATGACACCAAAACACAAATTGTAACAGATGGTCAAAGACACTTAAAAAGACAAGCATCACAAAAGTAAAACTGTACCTAGACTTGGTATAGGAGATGTAAATATGACATCAATGACATTATGCCCTTCTTTAGTAACTAAAGGGAAGTCACCCCCAAGGGGACCCGCATGCCCTATAGATGGTCTCCTCCACACCTTCAATAAAGGAAGAAAATTAAACACAAGAATTGTTCCTTGGCATAGTTTACTCTCCTATTATGCCCATCAATCATTACTTGAACTTCAATTATTAATTCTGCTGGGAGTGGATTGATCTTTTTCATCACATAGTTTGTAATGTGGTAAAATCCTTTCATGTAAGTTTATAGACGTCTCAGATATAAAAGTTGCTTTCTTGTCTGCCTCTATTTCTGTCTTTCAATTTGTCCCCTCTTTGTTTTGAGGTAGACAAGTTACCAAGTCTTTGAAATAGAGGTCGGACCTAGAGTGATGGCAAATGCTCATAGACCATAAGTTGTGGGTTTGAGTTTAGGAATCAATCTTAATAAGATTGCCTACCGTTTACCTCGCCCTACGCAATAGGAACAGTAAAAAATTTACCTAATATTTGCGATATGAACATAAAAACTTTCCATCTTAATGAGATTTTGACATATTCCGTATTGATTACACTGTATACCTCAGCATCACCGAGAAAAAGGTCATCAATTTCCTCAGCAGTTGCCATCCAGTTGAACTGGAAAAAAACTTCAGCACGTTAAAAACGCATCTTCCCCTTAGATTGGTAACATTTTCAACATGTTTCAATGCAGTACTATGCACAGAAGCTTACGGATTTAATTATAACAGGAATTGAGCCATCTAGACCACATTTGTACTTCTTTCCCATGACAATGAATACAAGCTTCCCTGCTGCTTTTAGAATAGTCTGTAAGCAGAGTGACCATGTAACGTAAGTGTTTCAAGACAAGAAACCAACAATAAGATAAAGCCTATGCAAGATTAAAGATTTCAAAAACATAATATAGACAGACGCAAGACTGATTATGGTATCTTTGACCAGGAAAATCCAATTCGTAACTTTCAATGCCTATGCACAATTCAAAATACCTGTGGAAAATGCCCACACATGCAAAATTACTTTAACTGCTTTCTGAACAGTTTTCACACTATGATTTTGAGTTCCAGTTTTATGAAAAAAGAACCAAAAACATTATTTTGACTCACCTTTTCTTGAACCAAAGATTCCACACCCTGCAATCTCTGACGCCCGATCACTGCAGTAAGGGTTCCTTCTTCTATAGTATCAGCATCAACAAATGCGAAATCAATCTGCAAAACACAAACTAAAATCTTGTTATATAGCATTTTGAAAGTAACTGAACACTATAGTGTTATTAAAACAAGGTTAACACATGAGAGTACGAGTATATCCACAAACAACTCTAAAAGTGACAGAAATTTAAAGGGCATCTGAATTTCATTCACTTCCGACCAGATACTGACCATTGATTATTATTTACGACAAGATGATTCTTCGTGGCTCAAAGATATTTGGAAATTTTCCATCCATCTTATTAGAGTAGTCTATTATATTTGTTATTAGGGGTAGTTTTAATCGTTTACCTTATGTTATGTTGCCCTACCATATAAGGGCCTCCATCTCTGTTCCTTTTTAGTATATTAACAAGCAAACAGATATGGTGTTTTATTGTGAGTGATTCAAATTCAAATGGTACCAGAGCTGTTTAGAACATGTAATACTCACAGACCCAAGTTAAAATGCAACCAAGTAATTGGATACTCAGAATTTGTGCACACTTGAGAA